AGAACCTCACATTTATCTCTTAAATTTGTTCTTCTTGGCTTTGGGATATTATTGCAGCCTGCAGGATTCATTGTGACTTTGTTTTTGTCTTCCAGTGTATCTATTAGCAGCTTTTGAAATTGTTTGTTATCTTCATTCCAAGTTGCCCTTGAGCCAGCCAGCCAAGTGGAGAGCCCTGTGGTCCTTAAAGAACCTCCCTTCAGGATAGGTGATTATCGCTGCAGCCTGGCGCTCTCTCTCTTGCAGCCCACATTCCTCCAGAGTCAGCTTCAACAGCTTAATTTACAGAACAGGAAACAGGCCTGGCCATTTATGTGACTTGCTGAAAGCCACTCAGCTCATAGTGGCAGAGCTGGGATTTGGATTCAGGTCTTCAGGAAAGACTGTTTCAAAGGCCATACAGAAGGCAGAATACACTGATAAGAATCACCTGGGGCACTTTTAAAACCACAGAGTCTTAGGCCCCAAACCTGACCTGCTAAATCAGAATTTCCATAAGAAGGCCTGGTAATCTGTTTATTTTTTAAAAATCCTTCTTATCATCCTGGAAGTTCCAGAAACACCACTTGTCTGTTATTTCCCCCACAGTGAGTTCCTTATCCAAAAGGGCTAAGGAGATTACTGTATGAGAGATTTGAAAACTCTTGGTAATCATCTCTTTCTTTTCTAAGTTCTCACAAGCCAACTAATTAATATGTTCTGAAATTTTATCAGATAGCAACTTGACACTCTCCACAGTAAAATATCCACAATTTACCTTTTCCTCATTTTGGGAAAATGGGATCATGTAATCCCATTTCCAGCTTTCTAAGACCCTTTCCAAACCCTCCTGATTTCCCGGGGAGTACCAGCAAGGATTTCACAATCATATCTGCAAGACCTTTCAGTTCTCTGGCAGGCTGTGGTTCTAGACCTGGCATTCGGACCTCACACGAGGCTAGGTGAGTGCCTAGAAGTCCAAGCATTCGGACCCAACCTCTCATTTAGAAGGCCTGGGTCATTCCCTTACAAAGGACTCATCCTCAGAGGATGGACTGACTCAGAGTGGGATTTTTGAAGCCTTCCATCTTATGCAGAGGCTCTTCCTGAGGCTCCCACCGCATCCCATCAGAATTCTCCAGGATTCTGACCAGGATCGCCTGAACCCCAACCCAAGAGACTCAAACAGTTCATACTATATGGCAGGCACTGTGCTACAGTGGGAACAGAGACTCGTAAGGCATGACTCCTGCCTGACACATCTGAGCCAGTCTTATCTGACCCCTGACCTATATCTGGATTGCTTCTATTCAAAGGTTGGGCCTTGTTTTACTGCCCCAGAATAAGTAAGATACTGGCAAACGTTTTGTAGTCATCCTCAGCGAAGAAGTGTGTCAGCGTTTGGCTGTTTGTTTGGCTGCCTCTCCCATGCTCGCCTGCCGAAAGGGACTTCCTGCACTCGAGAGAGCATTTGAGCGTCTAAGAGGCCTTGGCACTTGCCTTCTGACATTGCTAGTCTGTAGTTCTCTGAGTGGCATCATTCCTGTTACATAGTTCCCACACTTTTCTGCCAGAGAGTCAGTGTCTACCAGGCTGTTTGAATCATCCTTCCCAGCCCTTGGCTCAATCTTGAATGCTCACTGAGTCAAATAGGCTTGCTTTTGTGGCTCACTTGTGCCTCGACCAGATTTCCCAAAGTTTTGAAGAATGCTAATTTTATGAGACACTCTGAAAAAAGAGAAAAAAAACATTCCCTGGTTAAATAAGCGTGGGAAATGCTGCCCTGGAGGTCTTCTTTGAAGAACCATGATGTCCTTTAGTGTATTAAATGAAGGCCCTGTTAAACCATGTAGTAGCAATGGGTTTCAGTTTGTTTATGTTGCTGTTTCCATATTTTATTGTGTTTTATTGTTATTGTAATTGTTTTACAATGCAAGTGTTTATCCCCTGGAGAGCTAGTGTTTCAAAAAAATTCACTTTGAGAAATCCCAACCTAGGCAGTAGTTACCTGGAGTGGACTGCATTATAAAATATTTCATGTAGATACAGACACAGAAGAAATTGTATCTTTGTTTATGTATATATTTTTATTATACAGGTAATATAAACACATTTCAGAAAACTTAGGGAATAGAGAATTTTTTTTTAAACTGTACTTTAAAAGATGAAGGTTTACAGAATAATCTAGCTTCTCATTAAACAATTAGTGCACATATTGTTTTGCAACATTGGTTACCAATCCCACAGCATGTCAACACTCTCCCCTTCTCGACCTTGGGTTCCCTATGACCAGCTTTCCTGTCCCCTTTTACCTTCTAGTCCTTGCCCCTGGGCTAGTGTGCCCCTGAGAATTATTTTTAAACATACATAATTCCAAGGCCAAACACAACCTGCATTACAGGGGTTCTTAACCTCAGGTCCCCAGGTAAAATTCAGGGGTCCATGGAAAAATACTTCGTCTTTGTTTTAACTGACCTCTAGCTGAAATTTAGCATTTCCTCCCATTATAAACTAGGCAATAAACCACAGTAATGGTGTCAGTACCTGTGTCTTTGTCACCAACAGAAATCACAGATTTTGCGTATCACAAGACAGTTGTTGCTTGTATCTCCAAGAATTGTTTGTGCTCATGACTATGTCAAGAAAGTGACTAGACCTACCACAAATATTTTTACTCTTAGTAAAGAAACACATATATTCCTATGTCACTAATTTGCTCTTTTAATATTTGATAACTGTATTCAACGTTAATTGTTTTCTTTGTATTTTATCCATTGAAAACATCATTCTGAGAAGACATTCTGTCTCACGAAACTGCCAAAGGGGTCCATGACATTAAAAAAAAGAACCCCTGCTCTATTAACATTTTATTATCTAGTCTTTTTAAGCATGTTATTATATATATAAAAAGATACAGAACTGTATATCTATTTACATGTACATTTTTGTATTTACATGTATATAGGGTGTATGTTTACATATGTAAATACACACAATTCTGTACCCTCTGTTCAATAAATATACATATCACAAGCATTTTTTTTCATATCTCCTTCTCTCAAGCATCTATACCATAGTTTACTGACTCCATTCCTCTACTGTTGGGCTTTTAGGTTGTTTTTAATTAATGCAAGTAGCTTTTCCTATATTTTGGATTATTTCTTTGTGCTAGGTTCCCAGAGTAGATAAATCACATCTTCAGACCTCTGTTGACTTGGGTCTTATGATATCACCTCCTAGTAATTCCAAGTAGAACACAGAGGCACATGACCTCCCTGGCAGCACACATCCAGTTTCCCAAAGTTTCTAAGTCTGTTTAGTTCATCTGATTTATAGTTCAGATAAAGTCTGTTGAAAAAACTTTATTTAAACCAACAACAATTCTTTTGGTCTCTTTGTCTGTAGGGATTCTAACATTTTCTCAAGGTCAGAGGCCTTTAGATGTTATTTTAAGAAGCGGGGGGAATGGTTTCTTAGCAGAGACTTACTTTTCCAACATTAATGGGCTGATTCATTTCTTCAGTCATTTGGGATTGAGGCTGGTTCCCCAAAGCACCGAAGGTTTCTCATGCAAAGTTGCCCCTGGGATCCTGGGTGGCAGGGCACCACCCTCAGCTTCATTGTGATTGTTTCTAAAAGCTCTAGGATACCTCCTGTAGAAATGTTGACATTGGTCTGAGTGTTTACATTGCATTTCAAATGAATCTAGATTTTTTTTCCCTTCTCACAAACGAGTCAAAATAGGATAAATCGCTCTGACTATGGTAAGCGTTAGGTGGTAGTTTTGAAGGCTATAAATGAAAGTTCAGCAGTTTAACCTCTGCAGTCATTAATTATTGCTATCTTTCAGGCTCATCAGTTAGCATCCATGCAAGCTCAGGCTTATAATGGTGGGAATGCCAACCCCCCACCCGCTAGTAACGAGGAAGAGGAGGATGAAGAGGATGAATATGACTATGACTATGAATCACTCTCTGATGGTAAGAGAAACAGAGTGCCATGCTGTGGGAAGGGAAATGCTTGGATGGTTTTCTGTATTTTTTTTTCATAAATAAATCTGGAGATGCACAGACCAACAGTACAGATTGCTGTAATATTGTCCAGAAGTTTCTGAATCTAGTCACATAGCAAGGACCAAGCAAGGAAAGGGATTCTGTTAGCCACTGCAGCCACGACTCAAGGAAAGAAGGGGAGGGTGTGGGAAGTAACATGGGAGGCATTCCTAAGATGAGTTTCTAAAGCAAGAGGTGGAATTACAGCAGAGAGACCCTATTTTCACCCTTTCTGTTTCTGGTGTGGCCAATCCTCTTGACAGGAATCTAGACTGTGGCTGAATCTTTTCTCTGTCCTGTACCGCCTGCAGGGGGCAGTGTCACATTTCTGTACTCCCTCTTAACCCTTTGCCATCAAGTTGATTCCAACTCATAGCGACCTACTCCTCCCCTTTCACTACTTTCACTGTGGCTTTCTAGGAGGATGGAAAAGAAAGAAGCTTCATTTCCCTCCCCTCCCTGGTTCTCACATTACTAGGCCAACAAGATTTCCCTCTGGCTGGCCCACCAAAGAGACAAAACATGGGTGATGGCTAATGGCACAGTTCAAAGAAGTCACATGAATGATGTTGAGTACAGATTGCAATTGAAGGATTCTTCTTACATGAGAATTAGTTTTCAAGTGTGTTTCATTTGCGCTAAACTAGTGTCATCTGTGGAGCCCTGGTGGCGCAGTGGTTAAGCATTTGGCTAATAACCAAAAGGTTGGCAGTTTGAATCCACCAGCTGCTCCTTGGAAGCCCTATGGGGCAGCTCTACTCTGTCCTACAGGGTCGCTATTAGTTGGAATCAACTCAAAGCCACCATGTTTGAGGGTTTTTTTTGTTGTTGGTGGTGTCATTTGCTGGAGACTACACTAAAATATTTTCTCAGATACGGTTGCTGGTGATAGACTTCCATTTTGGCAACTTCTGAAAGACAGAAATGTAGTAATGAGAAAATGCCAAGGTTCCTATTTACATAACTATTATATATGTAGAATATATTGTTTCTATGTAAAAACATTGCTTTGCTAATATGCAGATATGCCCAGGCCAGCAACTAATCACCATTAAGACAGCCAAGCCACTCTACTCCAGATATCAGCTTCTCACATTCCAGGGCCGTCTCCTAGTCACATTTCAGTTCCGGGAGACTGCGTCATGGCCAGCAGTCATAGTCTTTGGGGAAGTTCCTGTCTTCCCCCAAAATACAATACCAGACTGTGTCCATTTAATATCTGTCCTTAGTAATAGTTGATTGTTGCACGCCGTCAACTAAAAGTCAGTTTACTTCACCTGAAATGCCATCAGATAATTTGAGACACATATTCTCTAATGGAGGAGCCCTGGTGGCACAGTGGTTAAGAGTTCAGCTGCTAACTGAAAGGTCGGCAGTTCAAACCCTCCAGCATCTCCAGAAGAGAAAGATGTGGCAGTCTGCTTCCGTAAAGATTACAGCCTTGGAAACCCGATAGGGCAGTTCTACACCATCGTGTAGGGTCACAATGAGTTGGAATCAACTGGACAGCAACAAATATTCTCTAATGGAGAGGTGGAAGGAGGGAGAAAGTTAAAAGGAGTCAAGATCATTTCTTTGCAGTATATTCCTGAAAAGTGGGAAAGTAAATATTTTTATAGTGAATTATTCTTTCCCATGGATTTCTACTACAGTTATGCTATCAACTAAAAGCCAGTTTACTTCACCTGAGACCCCATCAAATAATTTGAGAAGCGTATTCTCTAACAGAGGAGCCCTAGTTGCACAGTGGTTAAGCGCTTGGTTGCTAACCAAACTAATTTGATGTCACCCCATAGAGGAACAAAATTATTCGGAAAGAAAATGAAACCACACTTAAGAAACCAACCAGTCCAAATGTCATTAATTCCTGAAAGAAGTTAGTCCCAACCCACTGCTGTGAAGTAGATTGGGACTTAAAGCGACCCTGTAGGTTGGAGTAAAACTTCCCCATAGGGTTTCCAAGGCTGTGATCTTTATGGAAGCAGACTGCCACTTCTTTCTCCTGTGGGGAGTGGCTAGTGGATTCGAACTGCCCACCACATTCAGTTAGCAGTCAAGCGCTTAACCACTGTGCCACTGGGGCACCTTGAAGTTAGTCCACTGGAAAGTAAATTCACTTTCTGTTAGAAATCACTCTCTGCTTTCTCTGTATTTTTGAAAGCAGGAAAGCAGAAGGCTTTTTTATTATTATCAGTATAAGTGTTTTTGATTTGAAAATAAGATGAACAGATAGTAGAGGGCTCTATCTAGTTTATTTTCAGTTGGGAGAATAAAATTTACGTTAGCTGCTGAATGTCTAAGATTTGCATGTTGTTTTCAATCCGCATGTGTATGTATGCAGACGGTGATGTTAAGTGGAAGAGAACGCCCCACCAGGCTCTACTCTGATGGGCCGTGAGACCCTGGGCGGTGTCCTTCGCCACTCTAGGCCTCAGGAAAAGGCTCTGCTCAGTGTTTGCTGATGTCCTCCCTGCTTCTAGCACTAACATCTGTGATCCCTGATGACTAAGTCCACGACCACCACATGATTATTTCCCATTTCATTGAAAGTGTTCTCTGACCGGGATTCCCAAACAAGCCTTGTAGTTATTATTCCGAGACGAAACTTGCTTACGCTTGTCCTATTGAGGCTTCCTTATGCCTACTCATGGTTTGTGGCGCCTCACTCATCTCTCTGCTTTCTTCTACCATTTTCACTTCCTCCAGCTGGGATGAGAAGAAAATATAAACCTGCCTGCTGTGGGCAGGACCACTTCCAGCTTCTTAGGGGAACCTCAAAGATTTCTAAACTTTTTGGAAGGGTGGGTCCTTTTGAAAATCAGTTGGAAGCAGTGACCAGTCTCCTCCAAGAAACGTCCTCTCAAAATTCTGCATACAGTTGCAGGAGTTTCCCAAGCCTCCTGTGGCCCCTGCAGTTGTCCCAGGCTAAGAATCCATCTCTGAAGTCAGGGCGCTCCAGTTGTCTATGTCACAGCGCTAGTCCTCAATTTTCATACCTATAAAGTAAGGGAATTAGTCTAAAGCCTCTTTTGGCCATTAAAATGAGATGATTCCTAGCCACAAAGTTACATCAAGAAGACCCCAAGGAAGTTGCAAATGAGGCTGATATATTTCAGGAACTGCTACTCTGACTTTTGGATAATAAATTCTTAATAAGCATTAAACTGAGTTTAATTACGTAAACTCAGATTAGTTCTTTTCCCTACAGCCTTGCTGTTTACCTTGAACACCTTGAGTATGCAGTGGAGCACAAATTTTAATTTCTAACTTAATAGAGACGTATTCTATCACAATGTCTGTATGGTTCTAACAAATCCATCAGTTTCTAGACATTTGAAATAAAGACTTATTGGGTGTATTGTGATAGTCATTTGCTGAAAATATGTAATATGAATGTGTCAGCTTTTGGCATGATTCACATTAACAATGTTTGCACTTCTTTTATTACTAGCTCTTGTGTCTCTTTATAGTCAACATATTAAATCTGTAGATGATTTCTTGTTTCATTTACCTTGTAATCTAAGCTGTTGCCATTTAAGCTTTGCTTCATGCCTTAATTTATCTGTCTTTTTTACTTCATTTTCCTTACTTTTATCTCCTTTCTGATTCTGTTTTTCTGTAGCAGATGTCCTTACTGCTTCTCCTGCTCCTAACAGTCAGGAAGGTAAAGCCAGTTGAACTGGGCCTTTTAACTGCATGAATGTCAGTGTTCCATGGCCAGTTTCTTAGGCCGGATTCGCATGAAGTTGTGGCACTTATATGAATAAAAATGTAATGACATGATTTCTCTCATTTACTTCTCGGCAGTCTGCATGGCCCTGATTTGGTATAAGGATATTCTGGTGTAAGCTTTTGTGGTCTGATGAGATAGTAGATCTTGGGTGAGAAATTAGTTTTCTTGTCTTTCCATTTCAAACACACATAATCATAATCTATCAATAACATTTTTAGTCACTTTGACTAGAAATGTCCAATAAAGAATAAAATATAAGGTTATCTGTCACATTTTAGATATATTTTCATTCCTGTCCTTAAGATTATCACTTAATAAATTAATAAACAAATTATGAAAACTTTACTTTCCAATTGATTATAATTGTGGACACTTTGCATTGCAAATAACAATAAGGCATTTTCCCTGTAGTTTTGACATTTCTGGAGGTAAAAGAAGCCAATAGCTTCATTTACAGTGAAAATGATTAGGTCATATATGTATCATCTAGAAGTGCTTTGACCACTAAATCCTTCCCAAACTAGTGTGCTGTCAACTTCTTGACACAGGATATCTTCCATGAGGTTTGCACTGTTTCAGTCACCTGTATGAAAATGAGCATTGTCATTTAGATATATGCATAGTACCAAAACACTACTACTGATAAAATTAGTCAATTCAATCAAAATAAAAGTTCAAGCCATCATCATTTTGGTAACATATAGCCAGAGCCTCAGTCTTGCAGAGAAACACAAATATGTGGGCGTGCTGGCTATGATGTAGACTTTTAGCTATTAATCGAAGCATTCTGTTCTTGTTTGCTGAGCCTGCCAACTCGTTTTCAGACAACATTCTGGAAGACAGACCTGAAAATAAATCATGTAATGACAAGCTTCAGTTTGAGTATAACGAAGAAATCCCTAAGAGGATAAAGAAAGCAGATAACTCTGCTTGCAACAAAGGAAAGGTGGGTGAATGGCATCTGTTACATTACTCTTGGACCATGGTACTCCTTGTAAGTTTCACGTGGGCTTCTACTCCTTCCCTCGCCCTTCTCTTCACCTGTCCCCTCACTTTCCTTTAGATGCCCAAGCCCACAAGGCAGTGATATGGGGCACCCACCTGCCATTTGTAGAAGGTTAGTCATTGATTCATGTAGCCAATACCTACTGATGGTGTAATGTGTGGCAGGCACATAGGTGGCACTGCAGGTAGTTGAGTGATGAGACAAGCATGTGACAATGCTTGTAGATAAGGACAAAGAGTGGTGATTACACAGTGTTATCAGAGTATCAAGGACAGGTTCTCAGGGAAGGTGATGTTTGAGAAGGAAGATTTGACCAAGCAGACGAAAACAGGGCATTCAGACCTAGAGAACAGCCTTGGCAAAGACAAGGAGACAAGAGATGGTCTGGTATGTTCAAGGAATAACAAGAAGTTTTAAGGGAGTTTGAGATGACCAAGGTAGACGGGGACCAGATGGTGGAGTATTAACAGTGGAATGACAGTGAAGACAGATAAATGAGATCATCTATCATCTACCATCAAGGGCCTGCCTCACTGTAGATAGACTCTGAGCAAGTCTATAGACATAGTTGCAGTAACAGTGTTGGAGAACAGAATAACAAAATATGTTGACAATTTGGGCCACAGAAGGTACATAGTCATCTTTTCTTTCAACAAATATATATTGACTTTTCCATATTTAAGACACGGTACTATGCCCTGAAGGAAGATGCAAGGGTGAATTAGACTCACCTCTTGCCCTCAGAAAGCTTTTACTCTAGTAAAGGCCTTAGGCTATGTATATGGATAAGCATAAAGCA